TTCAAAATATTTTATGCAAAGTACATAAAAGCCAATGTACACTAAAGTTCTGCGTATAATAAGCGTTAATTCGAATACACTTTCGTGAACCACTGTACCATATGTGCTTTGATCACTGTACCTGTCTAGAGATGTGAAAACGATCAACATTTTTACACGCTATCTGAAGCAACTAATCGATCAAAAATAACGCTCGATCAAACGATCGAGTTAATAAAGTTCACCGTTCATCGCATCGGTGTCTGTGTTGTCGATCATTAATCACCAGCGGTTCATTACCATTGTGCAATCGGGATGCTTTGGCGATTCTAGCAATTGTCGAGCACTTCACGCTCTGCTTGTACGCCGATCAATTAGCAACTAATGCCAGCTTGATTAGTCGATTCGAGCAAGGCACAGCCGCTTAGTCGGATAGATAGAAAGAATTCGCCGCTTTCACACCTCGCTACGAGCCGGGATGCAAGAACAGATCGAGAAACCGGTTACAGGCACGCGTAGAACAAGCGCGGTGGAGAAGCCACCGCCGAATTTCTTTTTTTGCACGATCGCGCAAACGTAACTCGGTAGCGAGCGAAAGAATTTGCCGGTCGATCGAATTTCTTGCATTGCGGCTCCGCGATCGCGTGTCCTCTTTAATATCGAATGACCGACCGGTCGATCCAATCCCGGAAAACAGGCACAGTTTCGGTGAGCAGTTCTCTCATCGAAAGTGGGCGCGAGAAGTGGCCGGGCAACGTGAAATCCTCTCGGCGTACGGAGGCGTCAAGCTGGAAGACGTCAGGGGAATGAGAGCTCCGTTCTTATCGGTAATCTTTCGTTTACTATAGATAACGTGAGAGTGAAAGAACACAGTGGCAGACGAAAGAAAATTTACAATTGCTACAGTGCAGTATACTATGTTGTACAAATGCTACAACGAACAAAGTTGTAGAGTTAACACTAAACCGGCATTTTACATATACCTATGTTACCATAAGGGGTCAAATGACCCCTCGCGGTACATAAGGCATGCAAAGAATTTTTCTCGGTAAAAAATAAGCGAGAAATTGAATAATCAGATAACATAAGAATTTACAAAAAGTCAGATTAGCGAAAGAAATAACAACGAATGTACGATTTTAAAGTAAATTTTTGAAAAGTACGTTTAGTGTTAATTCATCATTCTCCCTCTATATTTGTCTATATGATATGAAAAATTAATAACTTTCTATAAAATTAATAATCTCTAATTAAAATTAGCAGCATGTATATT